TGTTAACCGAAGTTCTGAAATGCGTCTCCGAGTCGAGAAGATTACTTACGTAGAGTTGTAATGTTAACTTATCGTGCATCATAATCCCAAGATATCTCAATTACTTCGGGATGCCGACCTTTGAACGTATTTCTTTTCGACCGCCTGCAAAAACTACACTCCGAAAAATGACTACTTTAAGTAGTGTGGATTTTTCACGTTGATTTTCGATGCGCCTCTACTTTCAAATATATTTCGTACAAAACGCGCGTGAGAATATTCATTCTTTTGCTCGTTTGGTAGAAAATTTCGTCTTCCTCAAATGTTGTACTTGATAAAAATGCATTTTGCGTCACAAGCTTCCTCATCAGCCCGTCGTTCATCGATATGCAAACAAGCAAGGCAAGAAGCACATCGGTACGACTGGCCATTAAACTAATAGACGCGGCCTCACTAAGGTTTTACTGGCAACTAAAAGTACACAAAACTGGGGTGCCCCTGGGGCCAATCGTGTCACAGCGCAGCGCACCAACAATTGGCTAAATGGTCTCTTACCTCGACGCGGCCACGACGGCCTGTTCAGTGACTCAGTTCCTGGAGCGGCTCAAGGGAATGAGGCTCACCGGATATGAGGTCATGGTGTCATTCGACGTCATTTCTCTCTTCATTTCGATTCCACAAGACTTGGTAGTTGAAACTGTCGGCGAGCTGCTCGAAAATCAATCCGACGAGACGGCGTGACGGTAAAACGGAAACATCGCGTCCAAATGCTGAAATTCTGCTCGAAGACGTATTTCACCCTCGAAGGTACAACCAACGAACAGAAAAAGGGGACACTAATTGAATCGCCACTCTCGGGCTTCATCGCAGAGGCAGATCTCCAAAAAGCAGAGACCCTAGTTTTCGCAGCCCATAGGCAGAAATTTTGGACTCGATATGTCGATGATACCTTTGTTATCATTACGCGGTAAATGGTCCAAGAATTCCATGATGTCCCGAACTCTGTTTTCCCTGACATCCAGTTCACAATGGAGACGGGACTCAACAACCAACTGCCGTTCCTGGACGTTCTCGTCTATCGAAAACCCAATGGGCACCTAAAAACAACGGGGTATAGGAAGGCCACCAATACACGCCGAATATCGAGCTACCACAGTAGACACCCGTTATGCGACGAACGCAGCGTGCTAACACTACAGAAGGACAGAAACATACTGCAGCCAGCCGGACGACCGAAGGTCAGAACAACGCTACCTACAGCGCCTTCTCATGGCAAACGGGTATCCTCGCAACTTCGTCAAACGCGGCAGGCAGACCGGACCAAGGCGACGATTGGTGACAGAACGGCCAAAAATATGGCCGGCGCTTCGATACATCGTTTCTCAGGTGGTCTCCCGTCTCCTAAGACCGCTGGAGATCGGCATCGACCACCAACCGGAGTCAGCAGTTCGAAATTTGGTCATAAGACCCAACACCCATCTGCCACGAGGTGAGACCACGAACGTCATCTACCGGGTTCAGTGTAACCCCTGCGAAGTTAACTACATTGAGGATACCGGCAAACGACTACAGACCAGTGTTGGAGAACACATGAGGGCAGTAAGGCGAACGAACCCTTTGTCTCTTGTGGCAGAACACCGTGCCGGACATACGCCTTCCAGAACGCCGAAATTCTGGGCCGAGAAAACGGCCGCATAGCAAGGAATGCAATCGAGGCCTGGCACACGGGGACAACTTCCATAAACCGTTGTGTGGCGCTTCCTGCGGTCTACCGAGCCCTCCGGGCACAGCTCACTGAGCAAATGAGCAAACGTGGACCTAGACAAAAAATGAATCCAAACATGAGCGAGTCCATGGAGGATACCCACTTAGCCACCCTTCAACCCGCGTCCGAAGAAGACGCAGTCGCCATTATAGCTGTATTATCCACAAGTTCAGCAAACACTCATGACAGCGTAACCAAGATTATCAGCCTTGGACGACAGCTAGGGTCAATGAAGGTACGAACGACAGCCGCCAACGTCTTAGCGCCGGTCCCCGATGTAGAATGAGTACATTCTGTCACCCTCCTCCTCCCCCTCAGTCCTCCAAAGTGCATGCGGATGATGACCTCTAAATCAGATACACCACCCCCTCATTCGGCAAAACAACGCTTTAGGACTCCCTCCCGACCCCTACCTCCCAGCCGCCCTGACTGAATAAGTATATGCATACTTGAAATCAAATACTTTCTGTGGAAAAGGTAGAAATCTTTATTGAGTAAATTTTCGACGCCGGTTCCCCGTGTCGTCGTCAGACGAGAATAAGTGTGCAGAAAACAATTAACATTTCAAACGTGCTACAAAATCAATACTCATTTGGTGCTTCAGCCAGTAAACGGCCGTCGTGTGCGTCAGTCCGTATTGATCGGCATTTGTCTCTTCCACTTTTCTCTGAGAATTTTGTACATGGCATCTAACTCAATATGCCTGTTGATGCATGACTCATCGTAGTGCATGGCTCCAGTGGGATCACCCATATCTGGCTTCCTTGCCGAGGTGACAATGCAGAAATTGAAATCGGTAGATCTTCCATTAGTTAACCCTAAGTTATGGGTACGATATGTAGACGACACGTTTGTCGTCGTTAAAACGGATCAATACGGACTGACACATACGACGGCAGCTTACTAGCTGAGGCACCAAATGAGTATTGATTTTGTAGCACGTTTGAAATTTTAATTGTTTTCAGCACATTTACTCTAGTCTGACGACGACACGGGGAACCGACGTCGAAAATTTACTCAATAAAGTTTTCTCCCTTTCCCAAAGAACATTTTTGATTTCAAGATATATATATATATATATCAGCGAGGAGAGACGACAGAGAATGCGGGTAGATTGATACAGCACTGTTTCGGGCTTATTCTGCCTTCATTCAGCCAATCATAACCCTGACCACCAGCAGCTGGGACCAGAAACACAAACATGCGCACAGACGCACCTGGCGCAGTCGGTCCACCACTGAGGCCTACCAGATGGGTCATAAGCACTTCATCGAACCGAAGTTCATCAGTGCCTCGCCACCTGTCATTCTCTGTCGCTGCAGATCGGCCGACTTCGGCCTGGTAATAGGTTGCCTGTTCGTGACCTTTGCCACAGATACGGAGCTTGTTTGCTTTGTGAAGCCAATAGATCGGTGTGCGCCCATTCCTGATTGATAAATACCCGATCTGCAGCGACAGGGAATGACAGGTGGCGAGGCACTGATGAACTTCGGTTCGATGAAGTGCTTATGACCCATCTGGTAGGCCTCAGTGGTGGACCGACTGCGCCAGGTGCGTCTGTGCGCATGTTTGTGTTTCTGGTCCCAGCTGCTGGTGGTCAGGGTTATGATTGGCTGAATGAAGGCAGAATAAGCCCGAAACAGTGCTGTATCAATCTATCCGCATTCTCTGTCGTCTCTCCTCGCTGCTATTATGACTTGGCCGACTTCGGCCTGGTAATTGGTTGCCTGTTCGTGACCTTTGCCACACATACGGAGCTTGGTTGCTTTGTGAAGCCAATAGATCGGTGTGCGCCCATTCCTGATTGACATATATATATATCGGACGTATTATACCGTACTCCCAACAAAAGTACTAATTAAAAGCCTAGACACGTGTTTCGCCGGTATTCGGCCTCTGCGTAACACAGCTACGAGGGACTAGGATCATCCGTGTGTCCACCAGCTTTCCCTATGCAGTTTCTGCTATATGAACTCCAGAGGATAATCATGTGAATAATTCCAGAAATCACACAGAGCAGGACATGATGTTGAGTCTCCGAGACATGCCTTTTAGGGTCACAACCGAAATTTCAATGAAAATTTGAGTCGAAAATAATCGACTACTCTGAAAAAATGCCCAGAAACCTCATATGGGACGCTGACGAACACAATGATATGCTGAGCCCCTTGTGGCTGTGTCGCGCAGTGGCAGAATATGGGTGAAACACGTGTCTGAGCCTTTATTTAGTACATTTGTCGGGAGTACGGTATAATACGTTCGATATGTATATATATATATATATATGTAGCTCAGAGGGGGTATGTATATATATATTTTATACCATAGGCAGAATGATATTACCGACAGAGACAAGGGAGACTGGAATGGCCATTTCTGGCTTATTAGCCGTCGTCAGCCAGCCATACCCAAGCCCGAAGTGTGGAACACCCGAGCCTCGAACTTGCGACCTGTTGGTTTAGAAGTCAACGCCTCTATCCACCGGGCCACGAGCCCGTTGCCCTGTCGGTTTTCGATCGGGAATATACAATGTTAGGGGGCGCTCACCGATCGTTCATACGGAACTCACTCGTTCCGTTGTGCCTTAAGGGCTCTCTCTCGAGCCCAACCAGCAGCCGCACAGCGGCGCATGAAATATAGGCAGAATGATATTACCGACAGAGACAGGGGAGACTGGAATGGCCATTTCTGGCTTATTAGCCGTCGTCAGCCAGCCATACCCAAGCCCGAAGTGTGGAACACCCGAGCCTCGAACACGCGACCTGTTGGTTTAGAAGTCAATGCTTCTATCCACCGGTGCACCGGGCTTATATATCATGCGCTGCTGTGCGGCTGCTGGTTGGGCCCGAGAGAGAGCCCTTAAGGCACAACGGAACGAGTGAATTCCGTATGAACGATCGGTGAGCGCCCCCTACCATTTTATACTATTCGCAGTACTACTTGTTTTTAGAATGGGCATGACGTGGTTATTTCAAAGTGGTCGATTGGCTTCGACTCAAATGTTCATTGAAATTTCGGTTAAGAACCTAAAACGTTATGTCTCGGTGATTTAACTCCATGCCCTGCACTAAGTAGTTTCTGAAATTTTTTACTCGATATATATATATATGAGAAGAAGAGGCGATCTCGGGAACCATAGGTTTAAGAGCCTGACGTTTCAAAAGCAAACAAGCTTCCATCGTCGGAGGTGGGTTCTGTACGGCGCCTCACAGTATTTATGGGTGCTGAGCATGCGCGAGTGTTGTCGTTCCTACTGCTATTCGTGCAGGATCTGCTGCGGGGGAGGAGCTAATTGCTGTCGTGCTGGTCGGCCCCTTCCTGCGTCTCCTCGTCGGGTGGGCTGTGTCGGGATGGCAACGGTCATTGACCTCGTCTGCATTGCCCGCATTTGTTGTGCCTGACCCGCGTTTCTCGTAATTGTCGCCCGTTTGCCTCTGCCCGTGTGCACCTCGGTGGCTGCTGGCCCCTTGCCTGTTTCTCCTTTATCGGCCTGCTGGCCCCCGTCATCGGTGTTTGGGCGCGAACTGTGTTCACCTGGGCTTGTGATGCTGACTTCCTGCCTTTGATTCCGTTGGTTGAACCGCACTCGTAGGGCCTGGTAGGCCGCCGGGAGAATCGTGCAGCGGTTGATGGAGGTTGGTACGGTGTGCCAGGCTTCAAGCGTTTCCCTAGCTGTCTGGTCGGTACCTCGGCCTAGGATTTCGGCGTTCTGGAAGGCGAAAGTGTGCCCAGAGGCTGCACAATGTTCCGCCACCAGTGAGAGTTGGTCCATCCTTCTCACTGCCCTTGCGTGTTCACTCA